GGCGGTGTCCCATATAAAGTGGAAGAAGATGGGCATGGATGTTAGCCCAGGGCCAGTCTTCCTCAGCAAAAAAAGAGGAGGATTGGCAGATGTTAGCACACGGCTGATCTCCTCACAAAAAAAAAGGTTATATAGGAGAATATCTTCATGATCTTGAGGTAGAGAACTATTTCCTATACAATATTCTCCAAGAACAAATCTTAAGGAGGAAAAGTGACAGATGTTACAATAACAAAATTAAAGGTCCCTGTTTAAAGAAAGTCACCAGACACAAAGTCAACAGATGGATAACAGACTGGGAGTAAGTAATTGAAATGAAAATCATTAAGAAAAAGAGAGAAAATCGCATAGAAAGATGGACAAAGGATATGAATAAACAATTTACAAAAAAAGAAACGTTAACTGCAATACATAGGAAGACATGCTCAAACTCCCTCATATTCATAGAAATGCAAATTTAATAAGGAAATACTATTTTTGCACATAAAAATAGCAAAAATTATAAATTCATGTATTTCCAAGTACTGACAATGTTCTAAGAAAATGCTAATATTGTATTTCTGATCATAATTAAAACTTCTGCCCCCATTATGGAGAAAATGTTGTCAGTACTTAGAGAAATTAAGTCTAGGGATATCCAATGACCTGGAAATCCTACTCCTGGCTATACACTTCAGAGCAAACTCTTGCACAGGCCCATGAGTGTGCATAAGTGAGCAAACTTTGCACACTCACAAAGATATTCATGGTGGTACTGGTCATGACACCAATAAGTAAAATTGGAAATGTGCATATAAAGAAACACTCTAAAGTAAGATTTAGTGAGCTAAATGTCTACGTAGAGATATATATAGCCTCATAAACACAGTATGGCATTAAAAATATATAAAATGAGACTTATATCATAATACCATTTATAACAAGTTAAGACACACACATACAATATCATATACATTAAGAATAAAAAGGTAGAATGGAGGAACATATATTCAATAAAACAGGGATTAGGGATCAGGGGAGTGGGAACAGAAGTAGAGATGGAGTATATAATAACATAAAACAAAAGAAAGATTTTGCATTGATCAATAGTAACGTGCCATGAATAAACTGAGAAGATATAATTAATTCAATTCAGTAAACGTGGAAACCAAAAAGTAAAAATAATTTGATTAAATCTGGGAAAAAAACAAACCTTATAAGCCTTTAAATATTTATACCAATGAGTTTTTTTTTTTAATTCTATTACTGTTGGCCTTGAACTAGCAATTTTGACAGCAGTTCACTACAACTAAAAGTAAACAAGAGAACAATAAAAAATTAAATTAAATTAAAAAGCCTAAGTGGCAAGTCATTCAAATAGAGTTCTGTGTGCCTATGAGTTGCTCATAACAGCTGTTTTCCTACTGGGCTCTATGCTATTTTCCAAAATGCTATGACTTGATAACAAATGGAGGTCTGTGTATTAAGTTTTCATAAAGCAAGATGGCTATAGCATGATGAATCAATTAGGGATTACAGTGTGAAACAGTCTTAATACACATAGGGGGCCAGCCGGTGGCGCAAGCAAGTTAAGTGCGCGCGCTCAGCTGCGTTGGCCAGGCATTCGCAGGTTCGGAACCCCGGGCGCACACCGACGCACTGCTTGGAAAGCCATGCTGTGGCGGCGTCCCACATAAAGTGGAGGAAGATGGGCACGGATGTTAGCCCAGGGCCAGTCTTCCTCAGTAAAAAAAGAGGAGGATTGGCAGATGTTAGCCCAGGGCTGATCTCCTCACAAAAAAAAAAAAAAAAAGAAATGCACATAAAAACAAAGCCTTCAAAATTCCAAAAATAGCTTCATTGAAAGTTTCATTGCAAAAAGTTAATGAAAAATTAAAGATATAAGATGTACCTAAAACAAGACTACATGACTATAAACAAAAGTTCACCAAGTTAATGGCCTTACAGACACCCTCATATCTACCTTCAAAGGAGGGCTCCCATATAGGCCCCTCTCAAGTTGACGGGACTCTGAGGGATTTTTTGGTAAACTACTACATTATTTCCTTAAAGAGCCAACGAAAACTATAATTAAATTAGTGAAAAATCTTGCCAAATTCTGGTAAATACCAGAGCTACACCCTCTACTTGAAACCCTATTTGGAGCGTGCAGATGGGACCCTGGGAGAACTGGCAAAAGCCAACTTTGGGCGAGAATTCTTACTAGGGCCAGCTCTCCTGGATCACTATCTGTAGTGCCCAGTCAAGAGAGCAAAATAAAATTTCACATTGTCCCTTCCTTTCCAAATCTAGCCCCGTTGGTTATTGATCCTTTCTTTCCCAAAGATAGCAACTGCCTTCTTGCTTCTCTTCTTTTATGTCCTAAAAACCTGGCTTGGCTTTCTGCCTGCCTGGGACATGTAAGTTGTCAGTTCTTTCTTTTGGCTATCTTTGGGAGTTACACTAGATTTTGTGAAGATAACATTTTGCACCCTCCTTGGGGACACCTCTTGAGTCCAAGAGGTTGTTCAGTATTGCCAGAAGTATTCACTGCTTGTCCTGGCAGAAGCCTGACAAGATATCTGAAAGAATTTAATAATTTTCTAACCACAAATTTGGCCAAATTGCAAGCTGATATTCAGTGCTTGATAGGAAAAATTTTTTTGCCTTTTTCTCTAAGCTAAACGTACCCAGAGAGAAAGAAAAACATTCCAACATAGGTGGATGGGTGTCAGTCCTTTAGCATCTAGGCTACAACCCAATTCCTTGAGGAATTGAGAGCAACTGTCCCAGTCTCACAAATTCTTGCAAAACTAGAAATGCAGCTCTACCGGCAGTTAAAATTCCTTTTATCGATCCCCAAACCTTCCCTATTCATCTCCAAAGGCTTATAAATTATTGGCCTTAGGAAATCAAAGTTCTTGGACCAACTTGCATTCCTTCCCTGTGCCTCTGAGATGTAAATGTTAAATTACAAACTTTAGGGAGGTAATTCTTAGAAGAAAAATGAAAAAGGGAAAGGTCATTTGAAACGGGCAAGTAAAAATCTTTTAAATGCTTCTCATAGATATTAATGAAAGGCTTGAGCCACCTGGGCAAGTAAACTTATTCCATCTACCAGAAAAACAACTAGATCCCACTTTCTAATAACTAGTGAGATTTACATTATCATACCTATCTCATCACTAAAATTTTAAAATAAAAACTCTAAGGTTTCTGTTTATGTTTGTCTGTATGCGTTGTAGATAGATGGTATTTTTTCCACGTATGGATGGTATTACTAAAATAAATTTGTAAATAGTTCTATTTAATTGGCTCAAACAAACAAGTCCTTAGTATTCATCAAATTCTCAAAAATATAATAGAAACTAACCCAAATGCTTTTGAAGTTCCATATGGGAAAATATTTGGTATCAAAGCTAGTTGAAGTTTGTTGATTTAATTAGAATAGACGAGTCTTTAGAGTTACCAAGATTGAATATAATGCAGACATACAACTCTTATTCTGCTTGGGTTTATTTTTTTATTTTTTTAAATGTGTGCTTTATTATTCTTTTTTGTGTGTGAGGAAGATCAGCCCCGAGCTAACATCTGCCAATCCTCCTCTTTTTTGCTGAGGAAAACTGGCCCTGGGCCAACATCCGTGCCCATCTTCCCCAACTCCATATGGGACGCCGCCACAGCACGGCTTGACAAGCAGTGTGTCGGTGTGTGCCCAGGATCCGAACCCCGGGCCACTGCAGCGGAGCACGCGCATTTAACCACTACGCCACCGGGCCGGCCCCTTCACTTGGGTTTATTAATCAAATGAATTCACGTTATCTCTTACAAAATCTGTCAGCAAGAAAAATTAGTTTGGATTGATAGCTGACTTTGTCTAATGTCTAATGAAGTTTTTATAGGTAATCTAAACATCATTGTTAAGAAACAAGCAAATTAAATAGATGTAAGTAAGGTAAAAAGTTCAGAGGTGAACATTTTAAATAGACTCCCCAAATCTTTTTGGTAACCTTTAACCTTAAAGTTTTGCTGAGTTAAGTTAAATGATGAGTTCAGTTAAACTGACTAAATATCCAAATCATTTCCAAATAAGAGGAAATACTCAAACATTAACTACTAAACATAGGTTTATCTACGTTTTGCTTTCTTCTACAGATGAATTAAAGATATTTGGATCTATTAGTAAACACGTCTTGTGCCATGCTGAAAAATTTACTATGAGGAAGCACATTTCTAGGAATTATAAAAAGTATTTATAATACATCTGCCAATCTGCAGAATGCTGTTGTAAGAGACAGTTCATAATTGCTTGCTTCTTAGTTTTCACTAGCAATTAAAATTTTTGAAGGATTAAAAATTGTAATATATGTAACTGAAACTACTAAGAATAATAAGGAAAAGGAATTTTATGTGTGCTCAGGGCTGGCTAAGATTGGAATAAATTTAATTAAGTAAATGAGTTGTAATATCAAAAGTAAACTGCTGCAAAATTAGTATTTTGTTTTCTCTCTGTTCAAAGGAGAAAGTTTTCTTGAACTATTGGTCTGCTCTTGATAATCAGAGACTATAAAAGGTTTGTTTCTTTACCTTTTTAAGTAATCTGCCTAGAGAAAAAAAACAAATATCTTGTGTCTTGCAAAATAATCACCTATGTTCCATGCTGTCTTCACCAGGTCATTGATTACTTAAACTCTGTACTCTTGATATCAAAAGAGCTAAATTTTGCTCACAACTATGTGAACTTCTCTATTTGCCTTTGAAATCTTTTATTGTCACTTTGGTCAAATAGACAATTAAGTATTATTTCATAATGATCTGTGATCCTATTTAGGCAAGTATCTGAATCCTTTTGGTATTTTTGACAAACTTCCCAAAAATCCAATTCTAAATGAAGTCTTTTTGCCTTTGAACTAACTGTTTTTTTCCAGAGGGCCCCTAGAACAGCTCAAAGGATTTGTTCTCTCTCCTTATAAAAAGGGAGATGTTAAACTAATTAGGTGTATTTGATATGTTAAATCACATGAGAAGCATTGTCAAACAAGAATACTAAGCCTTCTATATGGTGTGTCTGTATAGATATGTGTTCTAAGTGTTCCAGAAATTGTGTGAAATTCCTGGAAATCTGATATGCCCTGGTATTATGTTATCAGTCAAAATTCCAGCTATTATCTTAAAATGCTGTGTGTTACAAAAATAACCAATTTTCCTTGTCAATGCCATTATAATGAACTCTCATCACATTTTTAACTATGGGCATTTTTAAGTCTTTTGTCATTTACAGAGAGAGAGTTATTGTTTTACTCTGATGCTTTTACAAAAGTGTTCCTGCAAAAGTGCTTCATCTTCAAGGAGGTTAAAGGAAGGGACTTTTTGACAAGTACAAATTTCTGATAACTTTAAGATTATAAAAATGAATTGGTAAGAACAAAGACTGCTCTTAGATCTCCATGGAAAAAACAATAGCAGGTCCTCTTCTCTACCCAGATGACAGCCTAACTTCAGGGACTTGTACCTTGGATATGCCCCTCCCAGCTGAAGAAGGCTCCACCAGATGTTCCTGACAGATGCTGGAGACCTCCAAATCAAACTGATAAGGAAGAGAAGTAGTTGACATGGATGGAGACTGCTTCCTCCTAAGATGATAAGACTTCTCCTTTAGTTAAACATAAAACACTTTCCTTTCTTTCCTTTAGTCTGGCATTAGCCTGAAGAGATAA